TTACAAAGGGAAATTGAAAATTCAGCTGATGGGATATCAAGATTTCCATGAAGGAGTGGGCACCTGAACCAGATCTCAAATAGTATTTTACAGTATTTTTAACCGATTAAAATGGAGAAGGTTAGTGCAGTCAAAGTCCCCTTCAACAATCCTTATTCTTCCCCTTGGTGGGTGCTGCTCTAGTCAAATACCTAAGGATTGTGAGGGGCATGAGCTTGCATCTGTGAGTTGAATCCAGTTAAGACACTTAATGCCATTCTGCATAAAACTGAGAAATCCTGAGTTAAGAAGTTGTCTTATTTAAGGTTCAGAGCAATGAAACACTATGCATAATTAAATCAATCTTATCCTATGTATTCGTTTTCTGATTAAATTTAAGACAATGCACATTTGTTATTTGGAGAGATCAATGATAGGATAGCTAATTACTTCCTTTAGGAGCCATCGCTCTATTACTGTTAAATTCATTCTGTTATCGTTTGCATCCTCTGAATTATGTGCATACATTTACATGTTTTTCTCCAATTAAAACAGCAGTTGCTTTATTGCTTGCTTCATTTCTCCCAATCTTCCTACTCTCATTCATTTTAATACTGAAATTAGAGAGGGACACAAAACATGTGGAGAAGACAAAGTACAAAATAACAACAATAATAATAACAGTAATAAGGTGAAGAAGGGCCAAAAAATGGTTGGAAGGTAAGGCTGGCGACTAGAAGACAACAGCTGCTGATGGCACCATCATTATCATCAAACAACAGCAAAATCTTGTGTTTGTCCAAAAGCATGTCAGTCAAAAATATGTTTCTGTGGGGTGAGAGGAGAGACAAACGACTATTTCGTATCAGCCTTTCTAGTGTCCTGAGAATCATAAAGACACTCGGTGGGTCTTCATGAATTCCACAGCCAGTTTATCTTTAGGTAAGGACTACCTTGACTCCCTCATTTAAGACTGGAGGTAATGTATAAGTCGTCCACTTGCTTGAACAAGAAACTTGCTCGATTACACATTCTTTGGTAAATGAAGTGCAGTGGTTCTTGAATGGAAGGAAGTTAACATTGGTGGCAGGTGTGGAAAGGGAGAGATAAAAAATGAGAAAACCGTATGCACAGGAAAGGCACCAATACTTTAACAAGTAAACAAACCTAATGTCTGAGTTAAAAGAAGGGGACAAGAAAGCAGCCCAGCTGTATATTTTCTTATATTGTGGGATGGTAAATTAGTGCAGGTGAGAAAGTTATAGGTGAAAAAGTAAATTGTGTGTATATATATATATATATATATATATATATATATATATATATGAAAGTCTGTAAAAATATATTAAATGTTAAAATGCAGGGTTCTAAGATTTTGGACTTTTTGGTCTTATAGATTGGTCATGAGTTGTGTTTCTTGCTGTAGCTAGTTGTCCTGGTAAAATTATGGAATTTATCTTTCCAGAAGAGGGAAATTTATCCCTATAAGTTAAATGAACTTAACTATATCAGTTGACCCAGCATAGCCATATCATAAGATAAGAATGGCAAATCCTCTCTTGTGTATTTCTGATCAATGAATAGGAGCTTTTAAGAGTGTTGGGTTGAGAAGGATTCTGAGGCAAGGTCTGAGTACAGCAATAAAGAGTGCTATGATTCATGGACAGGAGCATGGTACAGAAAGTGGCAGTATATACACAGTAAAGTTGTTACTTCCTTAGTTTAATGTCATTAAAGCCAGCTAACCCTCACCAAATAGTGTCAATGGTAAAGTGTAATTAGTGCTACAAAATGTACCACCCATATTACACATAACTAAATAGACAATTTAGTGGCTGAAAGGGAGTAATGAAGGAGAAAGAGGAGAAAGAAGAAAGAGAACAGAGAGAAGAAGATCGTTTTTAAAAGTACATTCGGAAGAACTGAAAACAAATGAGACTTAGGAATCCAATTTATTATATTAATTACTAAAATATGCCTATCTCTGAAGCAACATTTTTAACTAGGTTTCCAGACAAGATGTTGTTCGTCATAGTATTGTTGAAGGTAATTTATAACATTTATTTTATTTTATTTTTTCTTGAGCAGAGTCTTGCTCTGCTGCCAGGCTGGAGTGCAGCAGTGTGATCTTGGCTCACTGCAACCTCTGCCTTCCAGGTTCAAGCAATTCTCCTGCCTCAGCCTCCTGAGTAGCTGGGACTACAGGCGCACGCCACCATGCATGTATTTAAAATTAGAACATAGGCTATCCTCTGAGTAATCATAGTATAATTATATAACTTAAATATGACTATGTCATATGATACAAATTAATGCTATGTTCATATTTTGTATAAAGTTGTAAAATGAAAAACATAAATGGTAAAATGATTTGAAAAATACATAGTATAATTGATCAATTAAACACAGAACTGTTTCTCATTTATTCGTGCATTCATTTTATTCTTTAAAAATAATTACTTAATGTCTATTAGATGATTGCATTTAATGGTAGACAACCAAGTTTGGGCCATTCTCTCATAGAGTCTGCAGTCTAATCTATTATAAAAAGAACATATCTTGTATTACACAACTATTAGGCTATTTGATAAGAACTGACATGGGCTTAGAGCATGTGCAGAAAAAGAGAACCAATAGAGAAGAGAGAGGGTGATCGATGAACAAAATAGTGGGCCAGTAAGAGCATAAAGTTATTAATAAATTCATGGAAAGTAACAGCAGGAATCTACCACTAGTCGGAGGTACAGAACTAAGGCTAAGATGGCTTAGTTAACACAGAGGCTCGTAAGGACATGCGGTTGGGATGACTATTGAGGGAAAAGTTATTTCAGGATGAGGAGCTGTTATGTTTGTAAAGATATTTGTACTCAAAATACGATTTTTTTGAAAAAGAAAGTATGTTATCTCAATAAAGAAAAAAACTCTGGCTATTTGATGGACCCATAAATGTGAATCTGCCTAACCACAGAAAGCTACCTGGGAGTGTAATTGCTAGTGGTTATGCTTTCATCGCTAGATTTGACATAAATGTTATTTTGTTGATTTTGAAGTTTAAGACTGGAATATAATCCTTACCATCATGCAGCTTCCATTCTGAGAAAAATAATATTTTAATGTAATGATTATGTACTTTAAATTTTATAATTAGTTGCCTATTTGCAAAGAGGACATAAGGCAGTTTTTAAAGACGACCACAATGCTGAAAAAAGGATTAAAACAAGGCAAAGAAAGTCAAAGTAATATAAGGAGATAAAAATAAATACTTAGCTTAGTTTGTAAACAAAATGCTTGTCATGAAGTTCCTTATAAACTTACAAATAGAAATCTGACTCTAAACTTACTAAGAACCAAAGCAAAGAAAGAAGCAGACTAGGTTATGGTATTCACTGTGTCAATAAATTAAAAAGTAACCAGTTGCTCAGAAGAAAAAAAAAATGCACATACACACAATTATCCTTAACATTAAAAAGAAATTAATGCTAAGGATCCTCTTCCAGAAGAAATTGTGTAATAGAACAGATGTCCATAATGAAGTTAAAATAAAAAGAGTTTTATAGAGTTCTTCTATTTTCTTTGTTTTTTAATAGCAATCCTGAGCCAGTTAGTTTTATTTGCAACTTTCCTGCTCCAGCCTATATTTCAGGATCCCTTCAGAATGAGTCTCCCAGGCTCTAAGTCAGCAGTCTCCGGCTGGTTTCAGCCAGTAGACAACTGCTAGGACACAGTGGCGGGAGGAAGAAGCTGGGGCATTTCCCTCTCTCTGTGTTCAGTGGTGTCTGCAGCTGAGGTTACGTCCCCCTCTCTGCCCAGGTGTGCACAGACATTCCAACCCCATCGCTTCTCCCTCTAGTATACGTTTAGTAATGGCTCCATTGTGTTACTCTCTGGGCTGCCTGAGTATCGCCTGATCAGGTTATCAGTTCTGTTCTGTGTTGGAAGCATTTCTATAGTTTAAATGCCTTCTGCTTTAAATATTCAGGAAGTTGTTTTTTTTTTCTTTTATCTTCGTTGGATCCTTAAAATCATTCATTTTAAGACAACAGCATATCCTTCAGCTCAATTCAATACAAACCATTTTACATTGAGAAGTATCTTTAAAAGAGTTATTAACCACGTATTAAATGTCCAGGGATGCTTACGCAAAAGTGAATAGCAGATACAGAAGAGTGTAGGAAACACGTTCCTGTCAGTCACTGAAGCCTGATCTTCAGGAAGAGGATTAGAATCTACCAACAGCAATACCCATGGAATTTCAGTACATGGATTAAGTGACACATCATTCAGTGGACATGCTTTTCTGAGAAAATTCCTAGAAATACACACCGGCCAACATCTTGGCTGTAACAAATCAGTGGAACCCAGAAGGAATATCCTGGAAAAGCAGTACCTCACTACTCTATCTACCTACAAACAACATACATGATTCACCTAAGACTATTCTTTTTCTGCAAATATAGAAGACATACATGGAAGGTAATACCTCATCTTCCATATCCAGTTCTTCACTAAATATGTAAACTAGAAAACCTTTTACAACTTAGCATGTATGCTAATAAAATTTTCCAAGTTATCCACTAGTTACGTGACATCAGTGAAGCCTCTGAAGACAGTTACTCCAGCCCATAAAGCAGGTTTATTTTATTCTTATGTCATTAAAGTTTTTAATGATATAGCTAATGTCCTAGTTTTTATTACATATATATCTGGCAATCTTTGCATCCCAATTTGGCCTAGCTAGGCTCCTCAAGAGGAAGAAAATACAGTGGCTGGAGATTTCTAGTCTCCATAGAAGTTATGATACTTACTGGTAATTAATAAAACTGCATCACAAATTTATACAGAAGTACCATAAATCTAAAAATGTACACCCTCCCCGCTTGAAGTTTCTATTCTTGTGCTGGTAAATTGTTTCTCAGATTGCAAAACTGACTTGAACCATGGCAAAACCATCAGTCCAATACCCCGTTGAAACATTTTTTCCCAAGAAATGCATTCAAACAATATATTTCTTCTTCACCTACCTGAAAGACTTCTTAATATCTCCTGCCTGGATTGTCTTGAGAATCTCTTGGTATAACTGATGATCAAGTCTTCCTGAAGATAGAGGATCTGAAGGGCAATTTGTATGTATGTAATAACCTATCAAAATCCCAAAAATAAATAAAATGGTGGCTGTGCAAAGTATTTTTAAAAGGTGGCAAAAGTTGCAGCGATTGCTCTTTGGTGCAGATCGTGTATAATGGCTAATGTAGTCAGATTCTTCTTGAAGTCTCTGGAACCTTCCTTTGGGTGAAGTTGCTGGTTGAATGGAATCAAGATTGAGGTCTGTAGTCTCTGAATGCCCTAGGTTCTGATTATCAGCACTGTCTAGCTGGAATTGGTCAAAACCAGGCTCCTCTAGTTCCTTCTCCATGTCCCACTCTAAGTCAAGGGCAGTGGTTTGAAGGTCATCATTGTCTAAGTACTGTGAGTGTCCTGGAGCTCTCTGATCTGCATTGACCTTCTGATAGGCCATCTTTTTCTCTGTGAAGATAAATAAGAGAAATATATTTTAATAAAATAAGCACACAATTTAAAAAAAATTACAAGTTGAAAACAAAACAGTAAGCCATATTGGGTTTCCATAATATTGTAATAATTACAATACAGGGAAATAAATTTTCCCAGTAGAAACTCATATTTTATTTAATTATTTAATCTTATAATTTTCTGTTGATGTTACTATAGGAAAGGAAGACAAAAGAAAAATGAAAGTAGAAGGTACTTAGTGGAAAAGCTATGATAAAACAAAATCTCACACACACACACACACACACACACACACACACACACACACACCCCAACCATTAATATTTGAAGCTTAGGAGAATAATAGCCACAAATGCGCAATTACACTGAAGGACAATGCAATGTAGAAGGCAAAATTAAACCCTTAGTCACAAAATCACTTCTAAAAATTAAAGACACAAGTAATAAAGCTATGATTTGGCTAAGTTAAAGACAGAAAATAATAAAAACCCTGGAATGATTACATTGTCAGAGCTAGTCTTAAAAACACAAATTCAGGATATAATCAGAATAACTAAATGAAATACGAATTCTGCAAGAAGCAAAATCTGTTATGGTACAGAGGCTTAAGTCACCAAAAAGACTGCACAACTTTAAGACCATGAGAGAGGACCTCGATGTTCCAAGAAATTAGTGACACAAGTTGTCCTGGCTCGGTACACTTTAAACAAAAGTCTGGGATGGCATCAATCCAAAGAGGGAAGCCTTTTGCCAGCCTAGGAGAGTTTGGTTTTGTAACCTTGCTACTGGAATGGCAGATGAAGGTTCTTCTCCCCTGCACAGCTTTGGATGACAGTTTGCTGTATCCTGCCCAGTGGTATCAGGACACCTGGGCTAATTAGCTGCAAGTGGTCTTCAGTCTATATTCTGTAACCCACTGGTGTATGATGGCTGCAGATTAAGAGTATTTATACTTAATTTTTCTGTGTATTAGATTTGTCACCCCAGCTGGATCTTAGGTCCCTCACTATGTTTTATGATTTTTCAGTGTGTCCCACTGTGGTGGGGAAAAAACACAGCTCAACTGATAATTGATTAGCTAATTGCCTTAGTAATAGTGGTTGACAAGTAAATTCCTATGAAAAAGATAAAACACGAATTTCACGAAACGGAGTGGCATTATGTACAGAATTATGGCTATGCATTCCTCCAATTTTGGCTAGCTGAGGCCCATATAATTAAAATACACTAAATTTTTCAGACAGTTCAAATATAACTAGATATTAAATTTTATAAAATAAAAAATCTGTAATTCTAACTAGAATTTTCATATGCTACCTTATAATCTAGGAATAATTCTTACCGAGCTTTGACTCAATAAAAATGATTATCTATTACATGTCAGGCACTGAGATAGGCAATGAAGACAGAAATAAATAGGACCCTCTTCCCTAAACAGGGAAACATCAAATCACAGAGACAATGCATCAACAAACAAAAACATCAGATACAAGGTGCAAGGTACCAGGGAAACTCAGGGGTGACTGATTCTAGCAGAAAATACAGAAAATGATCATTCAAAAAAGTGACCTCTAAGTTGCTTTGCAAGAGAGGAGGTTGTGAGAGTATGACACACTAGAAGGGGAAAATTTACAAAAGCGAAGATTAAGAACGCTCCATTTGAAAAACCTAGAGTGGTATGCTACAGCTGAGGACACAGCACATGGGCAAAGATGCTGAGAAAAACGCTAGGAAAAGGTGACGCTGGACAAAAAACTCAACCTCCCTACAACACAGGGCCTTCCCATGTGCAATGGGCATAATAATAATATAAACTTCATAGTCTTGTCATTAGGATTCATTCAGATGGTGAACCTAAAGCAGCTATTTGAGTAGGGGTGGGCTATATACAAGAGACATTTCCAGCATTAGAGGAGATAGAACTGTCAAGGACTGGTGGAAAGTTAATAATTACATAATTCTGCAAGACATTGTGGAGATGGAGAGGAGGCTGTATAATATTCTCTCTCTCTCTCTCTCTCTCTCTCTCTCTCACACACACACACACACACACACATACACACACACACTATAGTGTTTGGTGTTTTGTTTTGTTTTTTTTAATTAACATTTACTCTATATGTAGAGACTAAAACATAAAAATCACCACGTGATAAACTAAATGTTCTCACAGCTCTACATTCCTTTTCTTTTCCCTCCCTCCCTCCATTCCTTCTTCTTTGACTTTGTTTTCAAAATGATTCAAGGAAGGAGAGCATTTGAATTCTGTCTTCTGTCAAATCAAGAGAGGCAGAAAAAGGAAGTAACATATGGAGTTAGTGATAAACATTTGAACAGGTTAGGTAATGGCTAATTAACTTATAGAGGAAGAAACTGAATCTCAATGGGGGTAAAGAAAATGTCAAAAGAAAATACTAAAGGATACAAAAAAATCTGAAGGAAGTAGAATAAGGAATCTCTAAACACTTTAGAAACCAATTTATTTTAATGTACTTTATAAACTACAATTTCCTGGCTCCAGTCAATCTTTTTCCCTTTGGCCTAAACATCAATAAATTGCTGCTATCTTGACATGATATTATATTTACTTCTTTAACTGTTCAGCTTATTCATTATTGATTACTTTACTTGGACAATTTTTCCATACAGTTCTCTAGATATTTTTTCTCCCATTTTAATGAATCAGAGTCTCTCTCTCTCTCCCTAAACGCTTAAAAAAAATATTGAACGCTAGAGCTTGGTTTATGTTCAAAGAAGACTTGGCAGATGGGAGTTACTACAGAAATGTGAGATCTCTAATTCTGACCTCTAATACAAATATTCAAGTCACTTCTCTATAAATCATTTAAAAGCCAACTGCAATGGTGAGGCAGAGTTTTCATCTCTAGCCTGACAATAGGCATTCCATCACATGTACATCAGCAATTTAACGCTCTTCAAACATCAGACAGAGCCATCAAATAGAATGTAATGCACATACAGATATTAACTCATCAGCATGATGGATATCTACCTGATACCCTTACTATCACTTTTGAATTCATTACACATTATTAAATTTTCACTAAATTCTATCTTTCAGAGAGTCACATCTGGGATAAAGGTAGATGACGTCACTTGATATAACAAAATCCAAAGTATTTCAGGAAAATTACCAAAAAAATGAGTATGTAATGACATATATGATAAAGCATTTTAATCATCAACTTGGTAGAATCAATTATAAATGTCATATATTTTATATATCGAATATATGTATACAAAGTATATACAAATGTATCATATGCATATATAATCAGTAAATATTTCTATAAAATTTTGCCTTAAAAATAGTATAGATGTTTTGCAAAAATAAACATAGATATCTCTGCCCTGATAGTTTTGTTTCACTTAAATATATATAATTTAGCAGAAAATAAACTACCAAATAAAGGTAGAACTTTAGTAACATATTTCATTTTGAGTTGGTATAAATTATTCTATGGTTCCCACCAAGAATGTAACTATCTTTAAAATACCTCTGCCCTGTGAGACAAAAACATGACACATTTCTTTTTATCAGAAGCTTCAAATTCCCTAGTAGTATGAAAATTTTATATTTAAAGATAAATCTTCAACAAAATCAGCATGTCTTAAACATGATCATCGAATACTGCCATTCAATTTTTTTATTACTGATGCACATGATTTGGTTAATTTGTATTTTCATGGCACTTTAAGATTACCCCATGTGAGTGATTGTTAAAGAGTACATGTAGTAGATTTTATAATCTACCACATGAATAATTATCTAGAAGAGATATACTTTAGTATAGACAAGGTCATAGAAACTTGCGACATCTCTTCAAATGGAAATATCTGTAACACTCTTACACCTTATATTGTGTCGCATGGTCTGTTTTATAAAATGCAATTATCATGAAAAGTATATTTTACATATTTTCAACAGATCTTATTCACTTGGGTGATATCTCTTTCCATCTAGGCCTACAACCAAAAGATAGTTTTTAAAATTTAACATACTAAAACCTTTACCTTCTATATACACTTATTTAAAATATCTCTATCATAAAATACACTGTATTTTATTTTATTTTACATGCACTTATTTAAATCCTTCTATTATAAAAATAAAGTGGATACAAGTTGAACTGAATGGTATTTTTCTGACCTATGACAGACTTAGATTAATAATAATGAATATTCATCTATATTCAACATATGAGAGTTTAAAATAAACTGACACTTCTGAATGCTATTTTTTCACAACTATGGGCTTAAACAAAATACATTATATAGAAATAAAAGATAAGCATGGTAATAGAATGCAAACTGCAAATGTAAAATATAATCTCTGGTTGCTGCGGATCTAGTCTCACACAGGGCATACCAAATATTTTAGATAACAAATACAGATGAGACAAAAGATTTTTCAAATGCTATGTATTACTTATGCCATTTGGGAATATAATCACAGCAGTCTTCCTTTCTTGTTCAGCAGTCGTAATGAGATAATTTATTATATTAATGTTCTGACCTTGTAAATCTCCAAATTAGTGGACTTCATGCTTAAATTTCCCATTTGTCAAACAGAAATAATAAAAGTATCAAATTTTTGAAGTTACTATGAGTAAATGAGATAAATAATGTGCTCAGAACATTGTCTAACACATTATAAATGATACATTAATAATAATTATTATAGTGATTCACTAATATTTTTCCAGAAATTCTAAGAGCTAAGAAAATAGAAATATTTGGAGCTTAGAACTTTAAAATACAGGGTTAATTAAATTAAACTATGACCTGAGACCCAAGCTTTAACATCAAGGACCTGGAAATGTTGAGAAATAATGCTGTGTACCCAAATGCCTTTGAAAATGGGAAGTATTCTGTTAATCATTAGCTATGGTTCAGATACATAAAAGAGAAGTTTGGCTAATATTTATATAAAAGTCATTATTACATTTGACTATATCTTATTACAGAGTTTA